AATTAGAAACATCGATGAGAGAGAAACATCGATCAGCTGCCTCCTGCACATCCCCTACTGGGGATGTGGCCGCAACCCAGGTACATGCCCCTGACCGGAATCGAACCCGGGACCTCTCAGTCCACAGGCCAACGCTCTATCCACTGAGCCAAACCGGTTCCGGCGCTGGGTCTTTTTTTGATCATTAGGCTGTTTCCAAGTCTTATCTATTGTAAATTGCGCTTCTATTAACATAGGGGTGCATATATTCTTTCTGATGAATGTTTCAGGTTTCTTAGGATATATTCCTAGAAGTGGGATGACTGGGTCACATGGTAGTTTCCTTTTTAATTTTTTGAGGAAACTCCATACTGTTTTTCACAGTGGCCGCACCAGTCTGCATTCCCACCAGCAGTGTACTAGGGTTCCTTTTTCTCCACAACCTTGACAACACTTGTCGTTGCTTGATTTGTTGATGGTAGTCATTCTGACAGGTGTGAGGTGGTATCTCATTGTCATTTTGATTTGTATCTCTCGGATGATTAGTGACTTTGAGCATTTTTTTCATATGTCTCTTGGCTTTCTGTATGTCCATTTTGGAGACGTGCCTATTTAGGTACTTTACTCATTTTTTAATTGGATTGTTTGTCTTCCTTTTGTTAACACATTGCGGGGGGATCACGAGCATTCTTATGTTTTCATATTACACAGTGTTTTACATAAATGTTAAAGGCACGCCTTAAAATTAAATACCCATTACATTTTGAAGTTATTTATTACATGTTCTTACAAGCTAATATCTTTATTTTAATATATATTTTTATTGATTTTTAGAGAGGAAGGGAGAGGGAGAGATAGAAACAACAATGATGAGAGAGAATCATTGATTGGCTGTCTCCTGCATGCCCCCTACTGGGGATCGAGCCTGCATATCCAGGCATGTGCCCTTGACAGGAATAGAACCTGGGACCCTTCAGTCCGCAGGCTGATGCTCTATCCACTGAGCCAAACCGGCTAGGGCCAAGCTAATATCTTTTTAAAGTATCATACTTTGTAAAACTTTTTTTGTACTTGTTCAGTAGAAACTTATCTGGCCACTGGGTAAAGCTGGCAGTGTTCTTATGCCAGTACCAGGCTGTTTTGAGCACAGTGACTTTGTAGTATAACCTGATATCTGGTGATTCCTCCAACTTTGTTGTTCTTTCTCAAGATTGCTGCAGCTATTCGGAGTCTTTTTTGGTTCCATGTACATTTTTGGAGTATTTGTTATAGATCTGTGAAATGTGCCGTTGGTATTTTAATAGGGATTGCATTGAATCTATAGATTGCTTTGGGTAGTATGGACATTTTAATGATTTTGATTCTATCAATTCATGAACATGGTGTATTCTTCCACTTAATTATGTCTTTCTCTGTTTCTTTTTTCAACGTCCTATAGTTTTCAGAGTATAGGTCTTTTACCTCCTTGGTTAAGTTTATTCCTAAATATCTTATTGTTTTTGTTGCAATGGTGATCATTAAGTCTTATTAATAATAAAGGTTACCATAGTCCATCAGTAAGTTAGTGCTAATGAAAACTTAAATTTTTTGAGTTTAGCTGAGCCCTAATTATTGAGCCCTTGTTTACACAGTGCTGTGCCATGTGCCAACTGGGTATACAAGAGACATGCTATGTTATGTTTCTTGCTTTCTAATCCCCACTATAAAATGTCAGTCCCAGAAAAATTTTTTAGGAAACGCAACCCATGGTATTTTTGGAATTTGGGCTCTGTCACTAGCTATGTAACCTTGGACAAATTACTTCTCTGTGCCTGTTTCTTCATCTGTAAAATGGGGGAAACACCACATATGATTGTTATCTATAATAATAAAAGCATAATATGCTAATTAGACCAGATGTCCTTCCGGATGAAGCCACCGCAGCAGGGGCCGAGGCAGAGGCAGCCGTAGAGCAGCAGCGGGGCTGAGCCCTTTGCATGAATTTCATGCATCGGGCCTCTAGTAAGAAATAAGTGAACTAGTATATGTAAAACACATAGGATATTGCCTAATATATGGTAAGTGCTGCTGCTAGATTATGATGCCTAGCAGTTGAATACATGAAGCCTCCTTGGGCCTCATCGATCAGTCTTTTTCTTCTTTTAGTTTAAAATAAATAGGTTTCTTGGTAGAAGGTTTATAGTATATCTTTAGTTTCCATCATCAAGGCAATTTTCTAGAGATAAGTGAACTGAAGGACATGGTCTATAGATAGTCTTGTTTCATTTTGAGGTTGGACACCAAAATTGCATATCTCACCAGCCCTCCTTTGATGATGCTTTAGCAGGAAAATTTTAGTTTGAAATTCTTACTAAGCTGATTTCCCCTCATTGCAACATCCTTTTTGGGAGCTAGAGGGAATGGGGTGCTAGTGATGTGAAAGTAGGGTATAGGAAAGGGGCAGTTTAGAATCAAGACCTTTGATTTTAGCTGGACAAATCTATAGGCAAGGGATTTGCTAATTAGAAATTACTTTCTTAAAGGGGAAATTTATTCCTGATTTATATTTCTTTATCAAGTGAGATTAATATTTTTTATTTCCATATTAGTGAGACCGAACATTTTTTCATTATGTTCCTTGATCACATATTGTATGAATTGCCTATTCATGTCCTTGACCTATTGTTTTGTTTTATATGAGGATACTTATTGTTGTAGAAAAAGGATATTAAACCTTTGCCAAATATATTTCATATATATTTTCATTTTGTCAATTGTCTTCTTTTATCCTTGGTTGTGCTTTTTTATTTTACTGCATAGAAACTTTTAATGCAATGAATCTATAAATACTTCCTGAAAAGTATTATCTCATTATGGTTAGAGAGAGAATATCTGCTGAGTGCTGCTGAGTGTCATAGTTTATATGTAGACTTACCCATTTAATAAGCATTTTTCCTTACAAATAGGTGATTGATTGTCATAGGATTTGAAGACTCATTGCAAACTAACAGGCCTGAGGCTGTAACATCATAATAATAGCTACTACTTACTGTACATGGGCTGTATGCCAGGCAGTTTGCTATGTCTTTTATGTACTAGTAGAGGCCCGATGCATGAGATTTGTGCAAGAGTAGGCCTTTCTTCCCCCAGCTGCCAGCACCGGCTTCCCGCTGGCACCCGGGACCCGGCCTTCCCTCACAGCCCCAGCTTCATCCGGAAGAATGTCCGGTCTAATTAGCATATTACACTTTCATTATTATAGATGTTCCTAATAATCCAAGCTAAATATTATTGTCCCCCACAGTGCCTTAATGAGTAAAGTGGGACTAGAAGAAATGAAATGGCCCTGACCGGTTTAGCTCAGTGGATAGAGCATCGCCTGTAGACTGGGAGGGTCCCAGGTTTGATTCCGGTCAAGGGCATGTACCTTGGTTGCGGGTGCATCCCCAGTAGGGGGTGTGCAGGAGGCAGCTGATCGATGTTTCTAACTCTCTATCCCTCTCCCTTC